GAGAGGAAGGCTGCACAGAGCCTCCTCCGGGAGGGGTAGGCAGCAGAACCACATGGCTGCCACCCTTCTTGGCCCTCCCTGGCCTCTCTCCCTAGTGATGGGGGTGGGGAGGCAGGTGCCAGGCACAGACAGGTGCGCCTTCTCTTTCCTCCTCTCCCTCCCCTTTCTGGGTCTCCCCTCCAATGCCACATGCCCTGCTGTGCTGGGCTGCCCCCAGATCCCCAACCCCCTTTCAGAATAATGTAGATTTGAGCATACTGGCTGACTTGGGGGAGGGGAGAAGAGGGCGGTGGCTGGGAGAAAAGGGAGGTGTTCCCAGACTTGGTGAGCCATGATGCTCCCCTACACCCTGCTCTGTTACTTTTGCTCTATGTGTTTGCCACTCTGCTCTGGGACTCTGTGAGCTGTGACTGCAAGTCCTTAGTCCCTTGCCCAACGCCCGGCAAGTACTCAGTAAACTAGCTGTTTTTGGCTCTCCTTTTCCTGTGGCTTCCCCTCAGCTCCTCCAGCCCTGGTCTTTCACTAGACACAGCCCTTGGCATGAGAGGGCTAGCCCTGGGAGCTGGCCAGAGCAGGAGCTGGAAGGACTGCAAAGGTGACCATTCCCCAGAGCCTTGGTGGCCTGTGCTAACGTCTCACACATGTGCCTCAAGGACCATGCTGCCTGCTGTGGCTGCCCAGCCTCTGAAGCCTTGTGGGAGCCCTGCGGAAGGGAGGGCTCTGCTCCCTCTTCTGCTGTACCCCTCCCCACCCCCCTGGCGACTGGTCCTGCTCTGGGCTTGGATCCCCCTGCTGGCATCTTTGCTCCCTGTGCACATGTCCTGTGGCAAGCAAGCCACAGCGCCAGAGACACAGGTGCCCTCGGACAGGAGGGGTCCATGCCTGGAACCCTGCGGGCCACGTAGAGGGAGGAGCATAGAAGGGAAGTGACACCCACAGGTCACTAAGGTCACACCGCAGGTGGAGTGGAGTAACCCGCGCTGGTGTCCCCCACTCTCGTGCTCTGTCACCTTCTCCTGCTGTCTCCTGACTTCTCCTGCGGCCCCTCCTTGACTAACGCTGCCAAGGTCCTGGGAGCATCTCACAGAAGCTTACAAAAGACAACAGCAACATGAACAGTGGCAGCCACCGTGGTGCGAGCCCCTGCCCGGGGCCAGAGACGAGGCCAGGGCTGCTTTGGATGCCTGTTGCCACCCTCACGGTCGCCATGCAGGGCAGTGGGCATGAGGAATAGCCCCATCCTACAGAGAAAAAGCAAAGGCTTCCGGAGGCTCCGCGGGCCACGGCGCAGCTGGTCCGACTGCAGAGCATGCTGTTCTCCCCAGCATCCTGGGTGTGGAAGCCGTGGCAAAATTCCTGGTACCTGAGCCACTTGCTGAGCTCTGGGGCACTGAGGGCCATGCAGCTGCCCCTTCCTGCATGGTCACTCTGTTCATCTCATGGGGTTTAAGCCCTGAGCCCAGTGGGTACCACTTAGCGGGGAGCAGGGAGGCAATGTATTGGGAAGGCGGGTGTTGGGCACAGGACTTCAGGAAACACATCCGATTCCCGAGATTTCCTTCTGTAGGGTCCTACCTGCTCCCAAAACGAGTGAGCTTCAGCATGGTTGATGGAAGGTGCCTTTTTCTAACTTAGTCATAATCAGGGTTCTGGTTCTGGCTTCGGTTTCTTTCGCATGTGACTTATTGCCGAAAGCTTTTCTCAGCCTGTTCTCATTAAATCCCAAATTAAGCAGGAATCCCTGCAGGAAGAAAGCAGCTCCAAGAGACTGGGTCCCACTCATTCACACTGAGAGTGCAGTGGGGTGTGCTTGCTTGATTGTGTGTGTGTGTGTGTATTGTGTCCGCTTTCAAGACAATTTAAAAATAGTTCTGTGCCAAAGCTGTGGGCACTCGGCGCTGTGCTGGCGAGCAGGCACACTCCTCCCACCGTGGTCTGCTGCTCTGCTGATGTGGCCTGGCTGACGTGGGCAGCTCGTCTGCCTGCAGGAGCCCAGACACTCTTTAATGTGTTTTCCAAGAGGAAAGGCCCAGGAAGCCCCGGGCAAGGAGAGGCGGCGCGGTGGCTCAGGGAAGAGCTGAGCTGTGGGGGACAAGAGTGAGCTGGGTCTGCACACTGCCTCCAGGCTGTTCAGTGGTACCGGCAGGAAACCCAGAGAGAGCACCCCAAGGGCAGGGCGTGATTGTGCCCACTTCACAGATGGGAAGATTGGGAAGCAAAGACTAGACAGGAAGCCTCAGTTCTGTTCAAGTTTAGAGTGAGGACTGGCACATGTATGTCTGGAGCCAAAAGACCTGAGGGTCACAGAGGGTAGATTTGTTGTCCTCATGACCTGTGCACCTGCTGCTTTCTTATGTTCTCTAACATTCACAAGATTCCCTATTTAACTAAGCCAAGTGGTGTTGTAGCGGAAAAGTGACTTTTTTAAAAACATTTTAACACAAATTTTATTCATGCATGCATTCCGTGAGTATTTATTGAGAACTTGCTATGTGCTCATCAATATTCTAGGCATTAGAGATGTATTAGTGAGTGAAAAACACACAGGATCTGTGGCCTGGTGTAGCTTAAGTCCCAGTGGGGGAGACCAATATTAATCAGATGACTACATGACGGCCAATGTGATACGCAGGGGGAAGAAACGAAGTGGAGGTCAGCATTGTGGTGCAATGGGTTAAGCTGCTGCTTGTGACACTGAAATCCATATCAGCCAGCATCCGTTCAAGTCCTGGCTGCTCCTCTTCTGACCCAGCTTCCTGACCATGCGCCTTGGAAGCCAGCAGATGATGGCCCAAGTTCTTGGGTCCTTGCCACCCATGTGGGAGACTTAGATGGAGTCCCAGGCTCCTGGCTTTAGCCTGGCCCAGCTCTGGCTGTTGCAGCCTTTAGGGGAGTGAACCAGTGGGTGGAGGATCTCTCACTCTGGGTCTCCCTCTTCCTCTCCCCCTCTTTCTCTCTCATGCTCTACATTTCAAATAAATAAATAAATCTTTAACCAAAAGAAGGAAAGCATAAAGGTTTGATGAGCCCTCCTGACACAGGACCTGACCTAGTCTTGGTGCGGCCAGAAGTCGATGTTCAGTGTTCTCCATCAGCTGTTGTGTGCTTGGGCAGTTGCTTTGTTTTTGTTTTTGAGTCCAAATGTAGGAATTTAAAAATTGTGTTTCATTTAAACTTCAAGTTCTAGTCCATTTTGCCAGTCTTTCAGGGTTGTATTTAACATCCAGTGTGTTAGGTATTCCTATGTGCTCATGTAGCCTGTAGGTTTGAGAGCTACACTTCCACACTTCCACATTTTGATGCCAATCACTTTGTCCAACTCAAAGAGGCTCTCCAGTCCTGCTGCCCGCCACCACCAGGCTCCATCTGCAAACACTGAGCTCTGAGTTCACCTCTGTTCCACAGTACTGGGCAGCATTGCTTTCCTGGAATCATTTCTTCTTCTATTAGCCATAAAATATTCAAATATTTCCATGTGCAAGGTCTTGCAGAGTCTGGGGCATGTGTTCAGTCTTGGCCAGGACTTCACTAACTTAAAGTTGTTCTTTTCATTATTGTCTGTCCCAGACATCGATTCTCTCTGGTCCCCACGTGTTCATCTGTTCTCTTTGGAAGAAAAGATGGAATCAAAGCAGGTGTTAAGTCACCCTCTTTCTCACCTGTCCCTTAAAGCTGCACTCTGCTACTCGTATAAAACCACTTTTCCCTTGCCATTTGTGTATTATAAGAGCAGAAGTGAGGGTGCAGGGCTCTGGGAGAGTCGGGGGACAGGCTAAAGCTGCAGTCTCAAAGTGTGCCCTGGGAACCAGAGGGCCCCTGAGACTCTTCCAGGCCCTTCAAGTCCACAGTATTTTTGCAATAGGATTTTGTTTGCTTTTTTTTTCTGATTGTCTCTCAAGTGTACAGTAGCATTTTCTAGTGGCTACAAATACTGTAATATCACAATAGACTAGATGCAGATAGGAAAATCTAGCCATCTTCTATTAAAGCAGACATTAAAGGAATTTGCAACAACTCTTTTCACTAGCCTTTTTTTTCTATTTTGGAAAACATTTTTCTTTCAAACACATTACTAATATTTGGGCTTATTATTGACATTTTTAAGTGAGCTGATACTTCCCAGTTTTAATTTCTAATGCACTAAATCTTGATTGCAGTAACTCAGACAAAAGCTCTTGGGATCCTTAGTGATTTTTAAGAGTATAAAGGAGTCCTGAGGCCAAAAAAAGTCCGAGAACTTCTGAGCTGGAGGATGTGTGTGTGTGTGTGGGGGGTCTCCTTGGTATCAGACATGACCCAGAGGGCAAGCTGAAGTCCGTGTCGTTCCTGACTCACACATCCAGCCTGTCCCAGGATGTGCCGGGAATGAGATGAGTGATTCCTTTGGAATAGTAGGGAATACCGCCCCTCCCCTGGAGGAGGAGGTGTGCACAAGGCATCTCCTTGCTGCCGCGTTGGAGAGGCTTGGCCTGGGATAGCTCCTGAAGCTGTCCCAGGCTAGACCAGCATTGCCAGGTGCTGTGTTCAACATGAACGCAGCCCGCAAAGCCTGGCTCCGGTCTCGGTCCAGTTCCTTCCCAGAATCGCGCCACTGGAATTCTCAACCCATCTGCTCTCTGGGCTTGCCTCCTACTTGGTGTAATGAAGAGGGAGCTGGGTCTCAGGAGGCTGAGGTCTCAAGAGCCCAGGGTGGTAATCCTAGGCCAGATGTGCCAAGCCCGAGTGGCGTTCCAGGCCAGATGTGGAGCTGGGGGTGTGCCCAGCCCTATCCCAAGGCTCCGCTCTCTGCCCAACAGGGTCCTCCCTTTACTCCACACTCGGAGTGGAATCTGCACCTCCAAGCAAGTGAAAACCTGTGAGCTTCCACCGCTGCTTCCCCTGGGGGACGCCATTGAGAGCCTCCGCAGCCACAGCCAGAGGTTTCAAAGGTCGCCCAAGCTGGGCGGATTAGAACAACACATCTCTGGCCCGACGGTGAAGTTGGCTGCCCGGCAGAAGGCAAGTTGCAACATCTGCGAGCAGTCAGAACAAAGCCCCTGAACTTTTTCTCTCTGGCCCCGGGCTCCGTGGCGTCCCCCAGCTCCTCCTTCGTCCGCGGCTCCCAGCCGGACCTTGGGCAAGAATCGCTGCAGCCCAGTGCGGGGAAGCGCGGCTGCCTGGCGTCCCGAAGCACGTGAGCGCTGCGGTAAGGTGCCTGCCGCGCACTCGCCTCGCCGGTGTGTGGCCCTGCCCCACTTTGGCCGGCACAGCTGAAGAGCGGCTCACTCCGGGATTAGTGGTGATTAGGGAATTTGTCAGGATTTGTGTGCCTTGCAGAGAGGATTAAGGTGGGCAGAGCGAGCTGTCAGTGCCAGGGGCATTTGCAAGCGGGTGGTTTGGGTGCCTGAGTGTGCTGTGGGTGGGGAGGGTCCAGGGCACACCTCTCGGCCTGCTGGGAGCCCCTCCCTGTGGGAAGGTACGGTTTGTCCCAGAGACCCTGAAGTGGATCAGGTGCTAGGGGATCTTTTGTGGGAAGGGCACAGCTGGGTGCTGCAGACTTGTTCTGCTGTACAACTTGATCCCCCGGGTCTTTGACTTTTTTTTTCCAAGTGTTTCTGCCTCAGAGTTGCCCTCTGTTTTGGCCACAGTTGAAAGCGTTCCATTCTGGGTTCAAGAGACAATTTGAAGTGCTTTTGATCAAATTAAAGTCAAATTAACTCAGTGCTTCTGCGAATGATTAATCAATTACGTTACTCATGAAAGCCTTACTTGGGAAGTGGGCTTTGGCGCAAGCATCCCAGCTCTTGGACCACTGCTCTGTTTGACCTCTGCCCTGGTTTCTTCCCCCCTCTCCCTGTCCTTTGAGCTACATTTTACTAAGTTCCACCACTCAGTGTTGCTCTGCCGATAGGGAAATGATAGACAAAATCACGCAGCCTCTCTGCTTTCCTCCGATTGTAGCTTGATGAAGGACTAGCAGGAACAGGGATGGTTTGGCTTGATTTGTTTTATTGTTAACTTTTTTCCTGATAGAGCATTCCAAATATGTCACTGACCACTCACTGGCAGCATGGCAGGAATCTGTTTGTGCTGATGATGGCTGTGGGCAGGGCGCTGGCCCAAGGGTGGGTGGAGCTGTTTGGTGTGACCGGTCAGCTTGGGACTGGGCTCCGATCCGACCCACGTGGTCATTGAGTGATCCACCCCCAAAGCCTCCTCGAGGGGGGACTAGATGTTTCCCTGCTGTGTGGACTTGTCCGTTCCTTTCTGCACCTGAAGCCAGATCTCTTAGGGATGATAGCTCCTGTGTTCTCTGGAGGCCAAGCCGTTTCCTTCTGATGAGAGCATCTGGGATCCTCAGATTTAGGGGGAAGTTAGGGGGTCTCGGGTCAGGAGATCTGGCAAGGATTGTGCACCTGATCTTACCGCTTCTGGTTTCCAGCCCTCCCCCTGCCCCTGAAAGCAGAGGAGAAAGAGTCTTGTGTCTTCCAAAGTCAGGCCTAGGAGTCACAGGGTAGGCACGTCCCCTGCTCCCCCTTCCTCTGTGTAACTCCCAAGCCTGTACCTACACCTCTCCCATTACTGGAGACCATTTGGGCCATGGGAGCCTCCAGGAAGCCAGCAACTGCGATCAGACCTTCATTTGCTTTCCCTCCCTCCCTCCCTCCCTCCCTCCCTCCCTCTCTTACTCCCGTTCCCTGTTTCCTTTGCTTTT